GAGCGGAGGACCTGGGACCACGCCATCGAACTCGTCCCCGACGCTAAGCCCACCAACTGCAAGGTGTACCCCATCTCGCCCCTTGAGCAACGCGAGCTCGACGCGTTCATCGAGGAAGGGCTATCCACGGGACGGATTCGCCCCTCCAAGTCTCCGATGGCGTCTCCGGTCTTCTTCGTCAAGAAGGACGGACGGGACTCCGCTTCGTCCAGGACTACCGTGCTCTCAACGCGATGACTGTCAAAAACCGGTACCCCCTTCCGCTGATCAACGACCTCATCAACCGGCTCAAAGGCGCTCGTTACTTCACCAAACTCGACGTCCGTTGGGGCTTCAACAACGTCCGGATCAAGGAAGGTGACGAGTGGAAAGCGGCTTCCGGACTAACCGAGGCCTGTTCGAGCCCTTGGTGATGTATTTCGGCCTGACAAACTCTCCCCATGACGTTCCAAACGATGATGAATGACATTTTTCAGGACCTCATCCTCTCCGGAGACGTCATGATCTACCTTGACGACATCTTGATCGCCCATTCCGACCTCCGGAAACACCGGCAGATTGTCCAGGAGGTCTTACAGCGACTCCGGGAGCACAAGTTGTACCTTCGAGCGGAGAAGTGCGACTTTGAAAAATCGTCAATCGAGTACCTCGGAGTCATCATCTCCCACAACCACGTCGAAATGGACCCCGTCAAGGTCGCAGGCGTCTCCGCTTGGCCGACTCCGGAAAACAAGAAGGACATTCAGCAATTCCTTGGGTTCGCTAATTTCTACCGCAGGTTCATTCGGGACTTCTCGACCCTCGCGCGCCCTCTCTTCGTGCTCACCAAGAAGGACCAGCAGTGGACTTGGGGCGACGCGGAGGCCTCCGCGTTCCAAGCGATCAAGGACGCGGTCACCTCGGAACCGGTCTTGGCGATTCCGGACGACGCACGGCCTTTCCGACTCGAGGCGGACAGCTCTGATTATGCGACGGGGCGGTTCTTTCACAATCCGCCCCGGACGGGAAGTGGCACCCTGTAGCATTCTATTCCAAAAGCTTAAATGATGTCCAGCGCAACTACGAAATCCACGACAAGGAGATGCTCGCGATCATCCGCGCACTCGAGGAGTATAGACACTTCCTCGGGGGCGCGCACCCTGTCGAGATTTGGACTGACCATAAGAATTTGGAGTACTTCAGGAAGACGCAGCACCTCAACCGGAGACAGGCCCGGTGGTCTCTGTACCTCTCTAGGTTCGACTTCACGCTGCACCACAAGCCTGGCCGCGATATGGGTCGGCCTGACGCCCTCTCCCGGAGACCCGACCACGGAGTCGATTCCGACAACTCCGATGTCGTCCTTCTGCGGCCTGAACTCTTCCACGTCCGCGCACTCGGGGGGCGTTTCCGTTTCGGTCCCGGCTCTGAACTCCTCCGCGACATCCGTGATGCCCTCTCCGGTGAGCCTGACCTGGAGGAGCCCGTCGCACTAGCGGCCCGGCAACTTCTTAAGGTTCAAGGTCAAGCTCGAGGCCCCCGCTCCTCACGTTCTGACGAGTGGGCCGTCTCCGGCGGTCTTCTCCATTTCCGAGGAAAGATCGTCGTACCAAAGGACAAGGACCTCCGGAGACGCATCATCGAGCTCTGCCATGACACCCGAGTGGCCGGACACGCAGGTCGTTTCAAGACCCTGGAGTTGGTCTCCCGGAACTACTGGTGGCCTCAGATGTCTCGCCATATCGGCCGGTATGTCACGACCTGTGACTTGTGCTGTCGCACCAAGGCACTCCGGAGACTGCCCCACGGAGAGCTGCACCCCACGGAAACGCCCCCGGAACGCTGGCATACCGTCTCCGTCGACTTCATCGTAGAGCTTCCCGAAGCCCATGGGTACGACGCGATCATGGTCGTCGTTGACACCCTCGGAAAGCGCGCCCACTTCTCGGAGTGTCATACGACGGTCGATGCAGTAGGGGCAGCCCGCCTCTACTACCGGAATGTCTGGCGGCACCATGGGACTCCGGAGAAGTACGTCTCCGACCGCGGCTCGCAGTTCATCGCGGACTTCACCCGAGAACTTTGGCGTCTAATCGGCATCAAGCCCGCCACGTCCACGGCATACCACCCGCAGACAGACGGTCAGACAGAGCGCGTCAACCAGGAGCTGGAGCAGTACTTGCGGATCTTCACCAACTACCAGCAGGACGACTGGGATGAGCTGATTCCGGCCGCGGAGTTCGCCTACAACAACCATGTTCACTCCTCCACGCAGCAGGTCCCCTTCATGACGGACACGGGACGGCTCCCCGCATGGGCTTCGAACCCGGAGTCCGTTCCGCCATGGAGTCAGTGAACGAGTTCCGCGACCGGATCGCCACTGGTGTTGCTGAAGCCAAGGCCGCGCTCACTAAGGCCAAAGAGGAGTACAAGCGCTACTACGACCGGAGACGGACTCCGTCTCCGGAGTTTAAGGTTGGCGACCGTGTTTGGCTGGATGCCTCTGACATCAGGACGACTCGCCCCTCGGAAAAGTTCTCCCATCGCCGCCTTGGACCGTTCAAGATAGTCGCGGAGATCAGCAAAGGTGCCTACAAGCTCGACCTCCCTCCGCGCTACTCGAAGCTCCACCCGGTCTTCCCCGTCGTCAAGCTCGAGCTCGCTCAGGACGACCCCTTCGACGGACGCCCCGGCTACGACCAGCCCCCTCCGGGACCTCGAGGACGGAGTCCCGGAGTGGGAAGTAGAGGAAATCCTGGACGCAAGGGTGAGGTATAAACGGCTGAACTACTTCGTCAGATGGAAAGGCTACGACGCATCGCACGACCAATGGGTCCGCTTCGACCGCGTCTTCGCCCGGAGAAAATTGCGGAGTTCTATCGTAAGTACCCTGGCAAGCCACGACACATCGCCTCCGCGACCTTCGACTCGATTCCGTTCCGGTCTATGCGTCGGGACGCCGCATTCAAAGGGGGGGGTGATGTCAGGGGAACCTCCCTTTCGGCCTCTCGGAGACGCCTCCGATTCCGGTCCGACTCCGGTTCCGCCTCCGGTCCGGCCCTCCATCTCGCCCGCACAATCACCGATCCGTCAACGCCCTCCCGACGGTCGCCCTGGGACCTCGCCTGCGACGCCGCCCAAGCCTTCTGTGCCCGACAGCGGCAGCTACGGACAAGCAGTATATAGTCAGCTACCTAGCAGGCGGACCCTTAGAGTTTCTTCTCTTTGGATCCTCCCCTGCTAGGTCAGCTTCATTTGTATTCGCTTACCAATGTTCACGCCTTTGGATCCTCCCCTGCTAGGACCTTGATCTCAGGCCTCCGGGGTTGCCCTTACACCAATCTATTTCCATTGATAAGCTGCTGTAGATCATCATTGTCAGCTATCTTGACTTGAATATATGTCTCAATGTCCTTTGCTTGTGCAGCAATTTCAACTTCCAGTGCAGACCATTCCTTTAGAGGCATAATACTTGGACGGGTAGTGATTATCATGCTGACATGTTTGCCAATAGCACGTAGCTTCCGAACAAGAGACAGCTGTATATGTCCTGGATACTCATCCAGAGCATCCACCACAATAAAAATTCGGGAGAATTTTGCTGCTGATGTCTTTAGGAGTTGCTCAATATCCTTAAGGGGAATATATTGAATGTTTTTCTTGGTATGAAGGTCATTAAAGAGACTTGTAGCCTCTGTGATATCCTGGTCCAAAGATAACTGTGCCCATATGGCCCCTAATATATTTGCATCCTGTTGTGTTTCCGCTTCCTTGTAATTGATATAAGCCCATGCAATGCCTCTAGTTTTGGCACTGTGTGTGGTTTGCAGATAATCCACAACCTTGGAGCTGAGGAGATATTGAGCATAGATGAAAGTTGATTACAATCACTCTTACACCAGCACAGTTTTTCCAGCCCCAGCTAATATTTAATATTAGCATCTAGGTTTAAGTATTAACAAATCTGCTTACGAATGCCAGAGCACCATACTGTAGTATTTCAATCAATTAATCATGTCACGGTCACATTGAGATTTTTGGCCGAAATTTTTCTGCCTGTCACAGGTCACAGCAGTTATGTTTGGTCCCAAACCATCCCAAAATGTTAATTTCCAAATTTTTCCACGCCTCCGGTGCGCCGAACTTCCATATAAGGCAGGAGGTCACACCAAATTTTGCCCTTGGCTGAATTGCACATTTCTGCCACATGTGTCACAGGTCACAGGGCTGCAGAATTGATTGAAATACTACAGTAATAGTTTCCCAGGTATTGCCTCCCATTCTTTGAATTTGGGATGTTCCAACAACCAATCTCCTGTTTTCTCCACCCGAAGTGCATTAATTTCAGTCTGGCGGGAGAAAAAATTTACAGGAGCAACCCATGCTCTGACTTTCTTCTTGATATCTGATCCTATAGGTCAGAAAAAAAAAAGCATGAAATTGGACTTGCTGTCTGTATCTTCTTTGGTGTATACACTGTATATGTTCAGCCAAAGAAACTGATATATAAAGGAGCACAAACTGAATATTGGCATGCCCAATGTTGTTAAATTTGGGCCCCTCACCGGGCCCACCTGGACCCCCAGCTCCACCTGCTGCGGGGCCACCTCCTCCACCAGTGCCACCAGTCACTGGGATATATATGAGCCTGAAATTTTCCTCTGCATTAGGAGGACTTGCCAACTGCATTCATGTAGACTGTAGGAGACTGAGATTTATAAGGTGGGGTGGGGAAAATGAGAGAGTGCTGGTCCATCGTGGTCAAGAGTCAAGAGTGGCACGACTGGACCTCGTGCATGCGGCATTCATACACCGTGTTCATCAGTCCATCGCACGAAGCTGGCGTATTTATAGTACCATTTTCCCTCGGGGCATATGTCCAATCGGCCGGCTCGCAATCGTTGACAGAACGAATGACAGACGGCTGGACAAACTCTGGCAACGTGGACCGGCATATATTGGCCATATAAGTACTTTGCGCTCTTGGCTGCCCGTCAGTTTGGTCTTGCTATCAGTGCCGCATGTGGAACCCGCCCAAAGCCAACGACCTCTTCAGGCCCCCGGCGCGGAAGACCGCTGCACCCGTAGCTCGACCCGTCTCGGTGCGCCAGCCACCCTGTCGTTTCTGGAGAGTGCGCTGTTGACGGTGACCGTGAATAACCAGCAGCCCCCTCGCTTCGGATTCCACCGGCGCCTCTGGCGCGGCCCAGAGGGCCCCAACTTCTCAGTGAGCCACTCCTCCCTTGGTGCCGCTGCGCCCGTGTCTGACCACCGCCTCCGCAGCTCAAAGGGTCCGTGGCGCCCGGCCACATCGACGCGCAGCTCATCGGCGAACTCGCGGAGGGGAAGAACAACAAAGTGCTGGCTTCGATCAACGGCGCCATTGGCCCGGGAGCAGCGCCTATTGAGGTGCACTGGGAGCGGGGCTCGCTGCGGGCGCGGATCGTTGTGTGGGACCTGGACGGGCACATTATGGTGACGCATTCAGGCCCGCGGATCGGGACGGCGACGAGGCGGGCGATGGAGATTCCGTGAGTATTATTTTGGCTGGCAGGGTGGCGGTTGATTGGGTATGTGCAGGGAAAAGTATCGAGCGAAGGCGGAAGAGAGCAAGGGTGAGAAAGGGAAGGCGAAACTGTGAACGTGAGGCTGCGGATGGGGGGTCTAAGCCGAGTAGAAGTTGTGCGCTGGTATTCATACTAGTATGTCAGTCTGGACGTCGTTGTGCGATTGCGGCCGATGCTTGTGGAAATTGCTGGCTCCGGTGAAAAAAAAAAAGATAGACGCCGAGCTGTCATCCGTCCATCACTCCATTTCGATCGATCAGGATGGGCCCAGAACGTGGTCTGCCATCAACAGACGCCCGACGCCACACTTCCCGCTTTTGTCTCCCACCACCACCCAACCCGCGCGTCGCGGCCCTCGCCCGCGCATACGACGCGTCACACGCGGTAATCGCAGTGCTACCACGACCGCTGGCGGCCCACGAGGAGAGACAAGCTGCTTATAACGGTGTGTGGCGCACTTCTTTTGTCTGCTTCGCTTATTGTCCTGCCAGCCCCCATCCTTCCTCCTCTTTCTTTCACTGCAACACCCACTACCTTGTCGATGCTCGGCAAATACGTGCGCCTAACACCGCCCGCGCCGTCGGGCTCGCCCATCGTCGCGGCGCTCGACCCCCAGCCGCAGTTCGCGCAATTTGACCCCAAGACACTCTTCCTCGCTGAGGGCGGGACCCCGGTTTTGCTTGGCCGCGCGTCAAAGGCGGTCGCCAATGGGCGCCTGAACGACGCGGATAACGGCTTTTTGAAGGTGCCTACGGGGAGGACGGCGCTGGGGAAGAGACATGCGGCGCTTTGTCTGCGGAATGGCACGGTATGTGGCTTGTGATATTCTCCAATCTTCCTTGTCTTTCGGCGTCGCGCTTCCCTTCTCTTCACTTTGCCGTCCTCGTTCGTTGAAAACCCTTCTTTTTGGGGGATCTTCTCTGACATTCATTTGTTCTTGACCTCTAATCACTCACTACCGTCCCTCTTCCTTCCCAACTTCTCGCCGCATTCCTCCCCGCCTCAAATTCATGCTTATTCATCCTCAGCTGTACATCGCAATGCTCGAGCGCGACGGCCTCGTCTCGCCCACCGAAAGCAGTCCACCCCGCGAAGTCTCTCCCAAGTCAGAATTCATTGCCCTCCGCTCCGGCGCCCGTGTCGTGCGTCCTCTCACTCTTCTTATGATTGTCTTTCTTACTCATTGATAGCGTCTCGGTGTCGCTGGCGCCGCGTCCCCGGGAGTTACCCTTCTGGTCGATATCCTCGTCGAAATTGCCGATGTCGATGTGTGGCGGATACCCGCCTGCGCGCTCAAGCAGCCACAAGAGCGCGCGGTTCCTACGCCAGCTGCCCGGCGAGGACAGCGACGAGGACATGGCGATGGACGTGTGCTAGACCGGGTCCGTAATCTGAAGAGCGAATTTGTTGTATCATTTGTCCGTGCTTTGCTTGTTTTCGTGTTTTGTTTGTGGGCTCATAGTTTGTACATGTACCTACGCTAGAGTGCGGCCGTTCGCCGCGTTAATTAGAGATGAAATATAGTACGCCTTTCCTCCTCTTGCTCCTATGCCGTCTTCAAGTCGCGTTTGATAGATGCTATCCAGCTAATACTCTTCGGATGCGCTCCTCGTGGAGCACCCTCCCAAGTGCCTGGAAGTGCTCTATAGGTCTTTCGTGATGCTCTCCAGGGCCGAGAAGGCAATCGACGCACCGTCCATCTGCGTGCTGTCCAGTGCGTTCATGCAGAGCACATGCATCCGTCTTCGCCCCGAGCCGCGATCCGGGACGAGGCGGGTGAAAACATCAGCACAATACGCTGCGGCGAGCTCAGCGTCGGACGAGGCGCCGTGCGGGTACTCAGGGAAGCACGTGGTTAGTGGGGTGTGCTGCAGCTTTGCGCGAAACAGGTCGAGTTTGTTGAGAATGAGTATCTGTTGGGAGGTCAGATCGCTGCATGACCACAGAGCGGAATTGGACAAGAGTGGGGAACACAGCCTGTGGCGCGCTTGCCAGCTCAGAGAAGTCGCGCATGGCGAACCGCATTCGATTCTGTCAGGGCCACCATAGTACTCGCGTCAATCATCAGGCGGGTACAAAATCGACGACCACACACCATCTTGCCCTCCGTTTCCAACTCCGCGCATTCGTCATAGGCCCCCATGTCCACGACATAAACCAGCGCCTCGGCCCCGGAAAACTGGTGCAGCCACTTGCGGCACGTGTCCTGGCGCTGCCGGACCTTGACGAGCGTCGTGTGCACCGTCGGCCCGGGGAGCCGCACCGTCAGCGGCACCTCTACAAGTGGGCTGGACGTGCGCACAGTGCGCTTTGACGCGCGGGAGGGGTGGGATGCACCGCTGCCGGCGGTACCGGGCCGGCTGCCATTGCCATTGCGAGGGGCGGCGGGCGTGGTGCGGGCGGTGTATGCGTGGGCCTGGCGGATGAAGGTAGACTGTGGAGTGGGTGAAGCACGGTACAAGATTCATACCGCCCTGCTTGCCTTGCCTGCTTTGGGCTGCCCGAGGACGAGCACGACACGGCGGTCGGCGAAAAGGAACTTGTCGCGTGCGATGGTGGCATCGATCTCGGCGTTTCCTGCGTGTCATCTCGTCGATGTTGTAGCGGCAGTCGACGGCACGCACGAATTCTAGCTTCCTTGTTAGATTCGTCGCCGCCCGAAAAAAGCGGACACAAAGACCCAGCCATTTTGAGGTCAAGTTGGGACTGGGGGCTCGTATCAAGGCTTGAGCTGGTATATATCCGGTCGCGTGGGGACCCACATCTTGCCCACATCCCGCCTCGTGCCCACGCATGTGCGCCGCTAGCGGCCACGCACCCGCAAAAGGCAGCCTAAGCCGCTTTCGGCTCCACAACGAAATTACGAGGGGACCTTGCTGTTGCTGATTCACCCGACCGTTCTCCTAACTCGGTTGGGAGGCTCAGCTTGTATATCCCGGCTGTCGTCCACGGTCCCCCTGATACTTTCTCGCAGATGTGGCCGACTACTAACATTTCTCGGCTGCTCCCGCGTCGTTGTTTTGTCCAGCCAGGCACAGATCTAACGCATCGGTGTCTGTTGACCTGTTTCTAGTGACTCTTGTTTTCCACTGGCACACCTGGCCGAGGATCCCGGAGGGTCGATCGGTGCACGCGACGGTCTGTGGCTGCCACGCGCCGGTCGCGAGCTGCGGTATACCAGATGCGGGTGAACGTTCGTCGCGTCTATGAACGATCACGACCAACTGGGACTGTGCAAACGCACCCTGGCACGCTCGATCAGGCGTCGACCAAGCGAGGTCTCGAGCTTGTCCAAAACAATCCAGTCAAGTTTGGTATGGACTCTGATTCCTTTTTGTCCCTCTAGTTAAATTCCTCTCGATATAGTCCATGTCAGCACAGCGACACGACATTAATATCGACGAGTCCAGGAAGGCGGTAACCGGCTGCCTCGGTCTGCTGTGATCATTGCAGTATCATCATACCTACTCCGGTGTCAGTGAGCCTGATTATCACTGGCATCTGCGCTAAGTACTCGCTGAGACGCCGCAGGGTACGGTATTCGGCTCCGTCACGACTCACCGCCCGTGCCCGTGGACGAAGGCGGCCACTAACACCTTTGCTCATGCCTCCAGCATCCCTCTCCATCGCACTCTCCCTCGCATTCCTCCCTGGTACGCCTGGTCATCACCTCTCATTGAATCACCCTTTCACATTTCCACAGGTGCTCTTTCGCTCGATGTGACCCTCTGGCAGTTTGGACACACTGGGCGTGTCGCCGGAGGCGCCACCACCCTTCCGCTCGTCCCGTTGGGCACAAGGACTGGCGCTGGGTCTGATAACCTTGCGACGACATACCTCTATCAAGTGGTTAACCCGCAGACCTTCACGTCGACCCGGGTTGACGGGGCGCTGACGACGCAAGTTATTCCGATAACATGTAGGTGACACTAGGTGTCGTTATCCCTTCCGATTCGAATGGGCTCAAGGCCTCTGCAGCCTCACGCACGATTGCAGTCTCCGCTTCCGGCTGGGACGAGCGCCTGGACAGCGGGACAGATATTGCATGCGCATTTGTCGACGAAAACTCCGGCGCCTGCTTCGACGGCGTCAGCAGCCTGAGCACTACGAGCCTCGCAAACAGCGGTGCGCCTTTCGTCGACGTCATACCTGTCTCTGCTATCCCGGTCAGTCCTGGACCCACTACCGGTAAGCTTCCGATCCTTCTACGCATGTGGAAAGTCTGAAATTTGATTCTTAGTTGCTTCCATACCCTCTAAATCAAAGAGTGCCTCCTTTTCCTGGGCTGCGGTGCCTCCCTATGCTACATCCGGGTCTCCGCCGCTATCCCACTCAGATATCCACCCGGGCGCCGTTGTCGGCGCCATAGTCGGCGGCCTGCTCATTCTGGCGTTGACCGTCGCGGTCATCCTGCTCTACCGTCGCCTCAGGTATCAAGAGCGAGATTTGCAGCCTGATATAGATGCGTATGGGACCCAGCCGCGCCCCTTTTTCGTTCTGCGCAGCAGTTTCCCGCATGCGCCTAACGGGAAGCTTGTTCGCGGCTGGAATCCTGTCACGGTCCTACAGCTGCCGAAAAAAAGGAATTTCAACACGGGTCACAGGCGAGCAGATATGGGCCCCATTACGGGCGAGCTTGAGCGCGTGCATGGGGCATGGACTCTCCCACCGGCATATTCTGAATGAAGTATGTTCGGACGAACATTGCAACTTCAAGTATGGGCCCGCCAGACGTACTGTCAAATAAGATTAGAGACAACATGAAATACATATCATACAACCGAACATATCATTCGAATGTGGTACAACTTTATATTGACACAGCTAGGGGTGGCCATTTTTATGTTATAAGTAATTTATCATGAACCTAAGCATATTATCATTACAAAATTTTTTTGATGGTCTGATGGTTGTTTGACATTCGGCATCCGGCTGTGGGCCCGTGACACGCCGAAATATTTCGGCGTCGGAGGGCCGGTGTGACGCGTGACCGCCGAATTGAATAAATTACTACAGTATATGATTACAATTATATCATACCTCCAACCTTGTGGCCTTATAACATTACTACTTATGTTATTCTCTGGGGGGTTCAACTTTCAACTTTCAAATCATGGATATAGGGTCGGAAAGTTCATTTCCGACCCTCTGGGGCCCCTTCCCCCTCCTGACATAGAAGGCAATATGTTCCCACAATTCGTGTCATGTGACCACTGATGCGATTAAAAGTGGCGTAAAAATTTAATCTTGTGAAATTTCTAAGATTATCATGCATGTATATGTATATATATATATGTATATGCGGAGCCTTCAAACACCCATGCCAGATGTTATATCCCATGCATCTTCGGACGCTCCAAGGTTATACTTGGAGCGCAACAGGGTTTTTACATGATGAAGGTATCTCAGTGTTTCCCTCCAAACAGTTAATTTGCATGCGGACTCTCTCAGTCAAGTTCGGACTCTCCAACCATCAACACAGATCTTTACCCATTTGGACTTTTGCTTGTTTACTTATATCCTTTAGGTATTACTTTGTTTCCTTTGTCTCATGTGTCACAGATAAGACCCAGCCCGTCCGCTCTGGCACTGGAGTCAGGCCACCGCGGGCCCAAAACACACAGCATATAACGACAGGGAACAGGCGCCCCAGTAAGAGGAACACACCGATGACAGTTATCTGGATCATATTCTCTATGATTGAGGCCTAGAGTACGTCTCCACCCTGCTTACACCCTGCTTATCTTTATCCCCGGCTGATCTTTTCTCCAGTGTTCTTCAACTCCCTGCTCGCCAGGTAACTGCTCATCTGTGTAACATGACCTGCTCTGAGACGGCTACCAGTCTCAACTCCTGCCACATCCTCCGTGAGCTTCTTTATATGAATGAATGGTTAATAATAGTCATTATAAAATATAACAGTGATCAAATGTGAGGTTCAAATCATGATACTCTTGAAAACCTTCCTGGTAGTACTTGAATCATGTTTTTACCTCAAGTGGTTATAGAGATAGAGGCCCATTAGTTGTACATCACCTAGTAATTGGACAGTTGTGATGCGACTAGTGGGCTACCACTATGCATCACTTAATGAAAGTTGTTCATATGGTTAAAAATAGACAACTCTCAGAATGTGACCATTTGTGACATTCTCTGATAATTATAGGGTCAAGTAGTGAAATTTTCCTTTTTTGGAAATTTGTCATGCTTATTGCTCCATGTGACAAAAACAATATGACATATGCACTGAAACTACCAGATCAAGTATCGATCAATAGAAAACTTCCTTTTTAGGTCACAGTGTCACATGTCACATATTGTGACTCTGGGAAACTTGGTGCAAATGGCTGGGGTTGTATTATTCACCTTTATTCACCCCCCTCTAGGACAATTATTCGCCACTAGGGATGTTATGATAATACTGAGCCTTGTCAATGGCACCCTAGCATGATACCACTGATAATTCACAGTGTTGGGTGGGCTAAACAGGTGTGAAAACATGACTGTATGATCAAGCACAGGCCAAGTTTGGTACCCAAGATAAGGACTTTTTCTGCCTAATGGGCCTAGCTACTCAGCAATGAAATATCAGAGGAAAGGCATGGAGCTGCATAGCTATAGTGACATGGAGATTGGCGTTGAGGTTTAAATTTTGTTAAGTAACTATATATAACCTCCATAATGATGAGTGATAGGTTGATATAGTTGATCATATAATAACTCTTGTTCCAGGTGAGATTTGGGGATTTGTAAGGGCAACCCTGGAGACTCCGACGAAAGCCTAGCAGGGGAGGATCCAAAGCGTGAATAAGACTACAGGAAATACACGGAGGGACCGACCTAGCAGGGGAGGATCCAAAGAGAAGAAACTCTAAGGGTCCGCCTGCTAGGGCGCCAACTATATACTGGTCGTCCGTAACTGCCGACGTAGAGCGCAGAAGGCCTGAGCGGCGTCGCAGGCTCTGTCCCAAGGTGATCGTTGGGAGGGTCTTGACGGATCGGTGATTGTGCGGGCGAAGGAGGCCGTGGACGATGGTCGGGGTGGGTCGGAGCGTCCGAGGGGGCGCCGGTCGGATGCGCCTCGGATGCGTTCGGAGGGTCCGAAGGAGGCCGAAGCGGGGGTTGAGGCCGAAGCGGGGGTTCCCCTGACAGGATTAAAAATATTCCCTACAATTGTCAGGGGAATCTCCCTTTCGGCCCCTTGAAAACGTCTCCGATTCCGACTCCGGTCCGGCCCTCCATCTCGCCCGCACAATCACCGATCTGTCAACGCCCTCCCAATGGTCGCCCTGGGACCTTGCCTGCGACGCCGCCCAAGCCTTCTGTGCCCGACAGCGGCAGCTATGGACAAGCAGTGTATAGTCAGCTCCCTAGCAGGCGGACCCTTAGAGTTTCTTCTCTTTGGATCGGTCAGCTTCATTTGTATTTGCTTACCAATGTTCACGCTTTGAATCCTCCCCTGCTAGACCTTGATCTCAGGCCTCCGGGGTTGCCCTTACAACAATAAGTATGAGAATAGTAAAAAAGAAAGAAAAAAATGGATATGGTATACGTCTATGCCATGTGCAGAACACAGTATCTCCTGGGTGAAAGGAAACTTGGTCCAGAATACCAAGAGGATACAATAGCAGACCCCGATGCATCTACATCGATGCTGCAAAAGACACCTTCTGTTACATGCATGCAAATGTGTGTACCAGCTATATATAGTGGAAGCGCATATAACCAGCATCTAGTCATAGTGGTCCTTTGGCCCAGTTCTGTGTTAGTGCTTCTGCACAGATTTTATCAGACTTAAAGAACCTGAATTTCATAAGTCTGTGCAAGGTTGAATCATAGTGGCTCACAGGCAGTGCAGACTGTCTGAGGGCTTACTATCTATAATTGGGCATTTGAGAGTGCAAACCTGGCCTTTCAGCCAGGGCCCCTTCCGGGCATCTGTGGGGAATTCCATCCCCTTCTGGGAGTTTCAACTCCAATCTTGGTCCATTCTGGACATTCCTGCACTTCAAGGGTTCAGGCGCCTCAAGGGGGAGGCACTGTTACATGCATGCAGATGTGTGTACCAGCTATATATAGTGGAAGCGCATATGACCAGCATCTGGTCATAGTGGTCTTTTGGCCCAGTTGGATTCTGTGTTAGCACTTCTGCACGGATTTCACACCTTCATGCATTGACTGAATGGCCAATCTTGATTGCACGCAGTTGACCTCCATGGGTTAGCTTGCGAGACGAGGAAAGCAGAGCCCATACCGAGCCACATGAACGGATAGCGCGAAAGACTTCAGAACTGTTGGGAGCAAATGGATGCTCATGCACCTTGGGGAAGACGACCTTGCCATTGGGGCCAATAGAAGTCTCGAGAGCCATCCGAGTATGAGGAACAGAAAATAATTAATAGTCCCAATTTGGACAGAAATGATGTAGCTGGTTACAATCATCAAAACTTGTGATGGCCATCAAAAATGTTTCCACATTGATGACATTATATAGATGCCATCAGTTCCATCATCAATTACCATAATAGTAGTCTTAAATAAATGGAATAAGCCTTTAAAGGAATGTGACATATGTGACAAAAAGCCCTGCTCAGTGTATTTGACAACTGTTATCCTAGCTGCAGCTAGTTGCATTTGTAAAAATATAACGCCTATGGCTCCGTCATGGGAGCAAAACCCCCTTCCCCTTCCCTCGGTGGAACCTATTCCTCTCCGAGTTTCGCCTTCGGTTCGTTGAGGAGAACGAGGAGGACCTTGCGCTTGCCAAGTTGGAGAGCGCGGGTTATCACATAGGAACGCGGGATGTCTACGGATACACCGACGACTTCGAGGACCTAATGGACCTCGCCGGATTCGAAGACGCATTGGTTAAGGTGACCAAGTACCGCCACGGACTTGACCCCCTGATCAACAACGGCATCACGTCTTCGAACGACCCTCCAGACCTCCGTGACTATCTGGGCTGGCGCACTCGGGCTTTCCGCCAATACGAAGCCTTGGTGCGGGCGAAGCTCATCAAAGGGACCACCCTGTGGACGCCTTCGGGGGCTCCGCGTGGCGCATTCCCTATCGCCCGTTCGGCAACGCCGTTCCCCATCTGCCCGGTGGCCGCACCCACGCCACCCGTGGCCCGCGGCCCCCGTCTCGGTACCTCCGGCTCCCGATGGAGTTGGATCGTACTAGGGCTCGGGGCACCCCTCGTCGAGCCTGCTTCAGATGTGGCGACCCCAATCACTTGGCTCGGGACTGTCCGCTCCCCGCCGATGTTCGCCATATGGACATCCTCGACGAGGTGATCCAGCAACTTGGCGATGAGATGCTGGGAGAGCTGCTTGCGCAGTTGTCCGACACCGCGGCCTTAGCAGAGGCGCATTTGGAGGCTCCGGCAGAGGATTTTGTCCCCCGCGACGAGTGACTGGTGTGCCCTTGTTCGCGTCCATAAATCGTTTCACTTGTTTGTATGATGAATCAACTCCCTCGCCCTACAACGAGCCTGAAACGAAAGACGCACCCCCTGCCCCCTCCGAAGCCCCATTCGGATTCGCCGACTTGCCTGGGAGAAAAAGCTACCTGGCAGCTATACCATCTCTGCCGCTCCTGGGGTTAACTCGGTCCACCTTCCTCTCGAACTTGAGTCCACTGCGAACACGCTCAAGCTCTCCCTCTCAGGTCTGGTCGACTGCGGA